AGAAGTCTGTGGGAGGCCGGAGCTGGGGCCCCTTCTAGAAGGCACCGGATTGGAGGCTGGTTAGTCCTGGTTCTCACCCCCATTAGCTGTGCAACCAGGGCAGGCGACATGACCTCCTGGAGCCTGCTGGCCCCTATCAACAGGGCCAGGCCCAGCTGTTCTCCCTGTCATCCAATCCGACTCAGCCCCGGGCAGAACTGCTCCTGGGGGTCAGAGACTGTCCCTTCTATCTTCCTTTGCAGTGGCAAGCGGTGTCAGACTGCTGACCTTGCCCTCAGCAGCCCGATGGGTAACCCGAGATGCCACGGGGCTCCTGGGTCGGTGGTGAGGGCGATGCAACCGGCAATGCCTGCAGCGGCCCCGGTGCCCCTCCCCTCCGCAGGGGCTCATGTGGCTCCTTTGTAAATGTGTGGCTCTGGCACTGCGCGTCTTCGGAGCCTTTCTTTGAGTGGCTTCAGCTGTTTACAGGAAGGCCGACTGCTTTCCTTTGGGCTTGCGGGGGCCTGAACAGCAAGGGGCTGGAGAGCCAGGGGGCTGCGCCCGCCCTGCCCGGGTCAGCAGGGTGACTGGCTGCTGGAGCAGGCGGCGGCCACATGGGCCTGGCACGGGGCCTTGGCTGCATCTCCAGCTGCATTTGACTATATTTCCTTTTTAATTACAGCTTTCTTAACTGCCCTTGCCAGTGGTGCTTCTGTTGGCAGCAACTCAGGGGGGACTAGTTAACTTTCGCAGTTAATACCGACTACTTAGCCGCAGCGTCCTCTGGCGTATTTTACACCTGCTGCTACCCAGGGCCCAGCGGCACCTGGGTGGTGCGTCAACCCGAGCCCTGGCAGCAGGTGGTGCCTGAGCTGGTGAGCTGGGGCTCCTGTGTGCGTTCTGTCAAGCGGGCCGGGGGCTACAGGACACTGGGCCAAGGCCATCGTCTCCCAGGAGACCTGAGGAAGCAGGGGTCTTGGGGCTGCTGGCAGAAGGGTAGGAGAGCATGCCACTTGGCTCCGGGCTCGCTGCGTTTGCCACGAGGAAGCCATCCATGCAGTAGGAGACCGCTAGTGCACACTTCATTCATGTGGCACAGGGGCAGGGCCGTGCGGGGCAGAGAAACCCTCCCCACCAGCCAACCTCACACGCCTCTCCGGAGAGAAGCCATTCCAGCCCTCGCGGTCCAAAAAACCCCCCCAAAATGAAAACAAAGGCCGCCGAATCCCACTGACAGTGACCCTATAGGGCAGGGTCCTGCAGAACTGCCCCTGTGGGTTTCTGAGACTGTAACTCAAGCATTCCCAGCACCACCGGGGTCCATATGCCTTTACATGGGGGAGACTTAATGTTTGACCGGGCAGGCCTGGGATTGGTGTTACGAGTCTCCAAATGGACCCCGACTCAGCTTGTGTGATCACGGGCCAGGGGCTGGGGTGACTTTTGTCTTTGTGCCCCCGATGGCTGCCCATCTTCCTGGGCGCACACAGCCTGGTCTTTCTCCCTTGGAGAAACAGAGGCATTGAACTTTGCAGTCTATCACTTAATCCCTCATGCCCCTCCCACCACCCCGCGTTTTTTGATTCCACACACCGTGGCCTATAATAACCCCCACGCACTGCTATCGAGTCTGTTCGGGACTCACAGAAAACCTATAGGGTGGGGCCGAACTGCCCCCGTGACCGGGACGCTTTACGGGCGTAGAAAGCCCTGACTTTCTCCCCAGGAGCAGGGGCAGGTGGTTTTGAATGGCTGACCTTGAAGTTCGCAGCCCGACGTGTAACCACTGCGCCACCTCCTGCCAACACCCCTGCTTTCCTTTCTGAGTTTCAGCCTGGCAGAAACACCTGCTGGGTTGTCGCCAGGCCGCTTGGGTCTCGGGCTAAGCACCGGGCACCCAGGGCGGGGATGGACTTACCACGGACGTCTCAAAGTACTCCAGGCCTTGGCCCAGCGCCCACGCCCGGGCCTGCGCTGCCTCCACTTCGCGTCGGCTGGCCAGGTCGGTTTTGTTCCCCACCAAGACACCTGGTGGGAATGGGCGAGCCAGGAAGCATCCCGGTTAATGGCCAGCCTGGGCAAGTGGCGGAGGGAGGAAAGAGCAGATCGCCTAGTTTCCAGGGCCGGGGGAGGGGGTGAGGCAGGAAGCATCACAGGAGACAGGCTGGTTGCCTTGAAGACTCCTGTGTTGCACCCTCCCCATGACGTGGGGTGGTGGTGCAGAGGTGGAAAGCTGTACCCCAACACCCTCCTCTCTCTGCTCAGCCTTGCCCCCAGATTTACCATGTGCCCAGCGGGCACTTGGGTCTGCAAGTTAGGGGAGTCCCACCCCACCCCAACTTTCCTGAGTACCGCCCCCTGCAATTCCTAGAGTGTGAGGCAAACTTCCATGTGGGCTTTAAAGCTAACCCAAGGCTGGGACGCCTGGGGGGCAGGGCCCAGGGTCACATCTGCCCCAGTGGATTTTCCTGCCTGCCCGAGGTCCCTTTCCCTGGTCTGCTGACGTGCTGCCCTTGAAAGCCATAGGAGGCCCTGCACGCAGAAGGGACAGCAGGGTTGCCCTGGGGCCTGTTTCCCAGAAGTGACAACTTGGATGATAAAACCTCCGATATCACCTTGAGATGCCCCTCAACCCTGCAGTGGGGTGTGGCATGTATTCCCATTTTACAGACCCAGAGGTATGTGGCAACTGTACCCCCATGGCTGACCTGGGGATACAACCCAGGCCATCCCCCAGAGTGGGAAGTCCATCCACCTGCCCACTGTGCCTACCTGGGAGGAGGATGCCTGGGGCCTGGGCCCGCGCCTTCTCTAGCCACTTGCTGCAGTTGTTGAAGGACTGCTCGTTGGTCACGTCGTAGACCAGACACAGGACGTTGGGGCTCTCCCACTGGGCAGAGGGACAGGGTGGGCGTGTGAGTGCCTTGTGGGCAGAAAGATGCTGGGCGCTGGCATCTCTGAGGACGCAAGGACACACTCCCTGCCAGAGTTCCCAGCCTGAGCCGCCTGGCTCCTTGCACAGTGATCGGCCTGGTCAGAGGCCCACCTCCACCTCAGCAAACCCAAACCCACTGCCCTCGAGTTGTGCCAACTCACAGTGAGCCTATACGAAAGGGTGGAACTGAACTTCTCTGTGGGTTTCTGAGACTATTCACAGGAGTAGAAAACCCCGGCTTTTTCCCTTGGAGTGCCTGGTGGTTTTGAACTGCTGACATTGCAGATCGTAGTCTAAAACGTCACCCGATATTTAAACCGACCAATCCCCAAAGTTCACATTCTTGTTTCAACACCCTTCACCTGCACCTGGCAGCTTCCGAGATGCCTCTGCCTCCCCGCCTCTGGAGAGGCCCCAGGATGGGCTGGGACCAGGAACCTGGGAGGTAGGTGTGGGCTGTCATGGCAGGGTAGCAGCCGGCACAGGTCGTGCACACAGTAGGTGCTTTGCAAGCATCACGGATCCACACATGATGGCTGGCCCTGTGTGGAATGGCCACTGCCTGAGCCACCTCTTGGGCTGACCACAATGATGATGACAATGACAATGGGCAGAGGGCAGTTTCGGTCAGAAGACAGCTGCTCTCAGCGACTGGGGGTGGGGTGGGGAGTAGGGGGCTTGGACAGCCTGGCCTAATGAGCTCATGGCCCCATCAGCCCTCGGGGCCTCCCTGGCTAATCCCCCTGGCCCAGCACGCTGGCTCCGTAGAGACAGGGCACCATGTGGGAGGCCTGTGGGATGTCCCCGTGGCAGCCCTGCTGCCTGCAGCCCCAGGGTTGGCCAGGTAGAGGAGTGTGCCTCACTACACTCCTGGGGACCCTTGGATCGCTCAGCTGCTATCCGCTGAGAAGTGCCTTGGAAAACAGGCCTGGTGACCTGCTCCCCAGAATCACCATTAAAACCCTGTGGAACAAACTCCAGGATTGACGCGCCGACAGACAGCACACAGAATAGGGGTTCCAGGGGAGGTGGGGTTCAGTGGCAGAAAGGGGTGGTGAAGGGGACTCGATGCCAAGGGGCCCACGTGGAAAAAGAACGTTTGGAAACTGGTCACGGTGGCAACTGTGCAATTCTGCTTGGAGTGACTGGATTATGGAATGATATGATGTATATGTTAATAATAACAGTAAAACCCCCGATAGAGCACAGGTCTAGGCTGACATGTGCCGGGGTACTGTGGGCCCGAACTGACCTGACAGCACAGGTTCGAGGCCTTATATCTGGGCACTCCAGGGGAGTGGTGGGGTTGTGGGGACAGAACTTGGTGATGTCCTATGAGGTGGGAAGGGGGCTCAGAAGATGGGAGCCCCAGATGGGGAGGCGGTACAGGGCTCTGGAGCCATCGGCTTCAGGCACACTGACACCCAGCCCGTCCAGAACTGGGAAGGGGGGCCTCATGCGCAAGGCCCCCTCTACTTGCCACCTGGCCATCCCTCCCAAGGCTGGGAGGAGGCCGGGGGTCTTCCTACACATCTGTGCTGCAGTGGCCTCTCGAGCCCGCTGCCAGCGCAGGCGCATTCTGCAAGAGCAGGTGGAGAGCGGCAGGGTTAGGAAAAGGACCCTTCCTCTACTTACCAATTTATCCAGCATTTCAGAAAACAGCTCCTTGCCAGCGGAGTCAAAAATGAAGAGCTCCTAGAATCAGAAAGGCATGTCTTGGGAGGTGGGAAACTCAGGCCATGGAGTCAACACGGGTTGGGGCTGCAAGGTCAGCAGTTCGAGCCCAACGGCTGCTCCATGTGAGAAGGATGAGGCTGTCCACTGCAGTACACAGCTCTTGAGATCACTGCCGTCGAGAGTCCACACTGACTCACAGCGACCCTGCTGGACAGAGAACCGTCCCGGTGGGTTTCCAAGACTGACTACACAAGAATAGAAAGAAGCCTCATCTTTCTCCCGGGAGCAGCTGATGGTGTTGGCCTGCTGACCTCCCAGTGAGCAGCCCAACTTGTCACTGCTCTGCCACCAGGGCGTCTTCCCAAAAGCAGTTAGTCTCAGAATGCCACAGGCAGCTCGGCTCTGTTGGCAGGGCGGCTGACACTCGGAAATGGGGCAGGAGGTGATAGCTCGAACCACCCAGGGCAAGGGGATGGCCCTGAATATGTGAACACACTGGAACGGTCAGTGTCAGTTTCACGCCCACTGGGACACAAAGCAACGCTAGCCACCAGCACAGGAAACGTGAATCGAGACTTCAGAGAAAAGCGTGTCCAAAGCTCCCCTCTCCGGGGAACCACAGGCTGGGTGGGGCGTTGGGTTCTCGGGGAACTCGGGAACCCTGCATGCACTGGGAGGGCATCTCGGTTCCCCTCCCCGCCCCGTGCAAGCATGCCCCTCTCCTGCCCCCGAGGCAGAAACCCCGGACACCGGCTGCCTTCCCGGCTGGCAGGGCAGAAGGCTGCACAGGCTGGCAAGCACTCCCGTTTCCGGAAGGTCATGCTGCAGTCTGCTCGTCACAATGATTGCTCCATCTTTAAACCACTCTTGTGAACGTGGCCGGAGAGCTGGCCCGGGCAGGGTGGTTCACACGGGGCAGTGTGTCCTTGTTTGGGACGGTGGACATTGGCCTGACAGAGGGCAGGGTTGACCCATCCAGCCCTGTCCACACCCCTATCTTCTCTAATCTGACCTCTGCATGCTCCCCTCCTCCTCGCTGGCTTGTGAGTCTCAGACCAGACACTAGTCCCCTGAGTCCTCGTCGTAACCCTCCTCACAGTATTGGGGTGCTTACGTGGCTTGAAGGTGGGCCTTTCTCTTGAAGAATCTGTTGTTAGGTGCTCGCTCTGACCCATAGTGACCCCCAGCGCAACAGGGCGAAGCACTGCCCGGTCCTGCACCATCCTCCCAAGTGTTCTCATGCCTGCACCCATCGTTGCAGCCGCTGTCCACCCATCTCCTTCAGGGCCTTCTTCTTCATCGATGCCCCTCCACTTGACCAAGCATGATGCCCTTCTCTGGGGACTGGTGGCTCCTGACCACGTGTCCACAGTACGTGCGGTGGAGCCTCGCTGCCCTTGCCTCTCAGGAGTGCTCTGGCTGCACGCTGCATGATCTCTGGAGAGGCGTGAGCCCTCCCTCCAAGATGGGACGCGGACACTGGCAGCTTGCACACGGATGAGTGTCCAGAGTTATTCCTCGCAGGGACCCAGGGAAGGGCCTTGGTAGCAGGAGGGCCAGGCCAGGCTAGTCTCCCAACTCTCGGCCCCTCCCTGGGAAGCCCACCGACCCCCGGACTCCATGGTGTCATGTCAAAGGCTCAGCCTCATCTCTGCAGGTCCTTCTGCCACCCCACCCTGGGGACCGGGCCTAGCCGGGGCAGCGCTCCCGCAGGTGACAACACACTCACCACACTGTCGCTCGTGTCTGGGACTGGAACCGTCTTCACCACCACATCCACGCCTGTGGTCTGTCGGGGAAAACCAGGAGCATGCACATCAAGGGGCCCGGTGGGGCGGGTGCACAGGGGAGCACAGGGAACCCCGGGCCTCTGTGTCTGTGCGGCGTGCTCACTTCTGGAGAGTTGGGGGGCACCATCTCCCCTCACCGCACCCGGTCCATGGACCACGTCGGGGCTCCAGTCAGGTGGATCCACAGAGGGCCCCATGCAGCTCCAGGAGAATGGCTTCCCAGGTGGTCTCTGCCCCCGCCATGGCGGGCCCTCAGCCCCAACTCACCAGTGTGTAGTTCTTCTGGAAATGGGCCCCATCGCTGCGGAAGATCTGTGCCAGGGCGGTCTTGCCCACTGTTGGGTCCCCTGGGGGGAGGGAGAGAACACGACCTTGGTCCTGGTGGGCCGTGAGAGCCTCTGAGACAGAACGGCAGCCTAGAGGCCAGGCCCTCGGGCCAGCTTCCAGGGGAGGCCTGCTTGCTCTTGGGGGCTGTGCGCACACCAGTCTCTGAGGACACTGGTCGGCCGGCCAGAGTGGCCTGAGCTGCACGTGTGTCCTCAAGGCTAATCCTTCCATCCGGAAGAGTCAACCGTGGAGGGGACCAGAGCTTACGGAGGGCTTCTGAGCACCAGAAACAGAGTCCGCTAGCTGACGCTGCAGCATACCTGCTTAACCCCAGATTGACCCTCCGGTGTCACAGGTGAGGTGGAGCAGGCTCTGTGACCAGCTCAGTCAGTCTACCAGAACCCTTACTATTATTATTACTATTATTTTGCTGGGGTAGGGGGTGGGGGAGAGGGGAGGCGAGGGGGGGGCTTCTTGATCTGCCTTTCCGGGAAGCGAAGCAAGCAGGTAGATGCTGGCTTTGCCATGCTGAAGCCCACCACCAAGTGGGGGGTCTCTTCCACCCATGCCTTGTCCCTCTGGGGGCCTCACTGCCAATGCGCTCCTGCAATCGTCTCCTCCGAGCCCTGCCCACACCTCCCAGGTGTGCTGCTCAGTGGCCCTTGGGCCCTGTACCTGCTGGGGAACACCCAGCACAATAAGGCCCTTGTCACCACCAGTACCAGCTAACCTCACACGCCTCACCACAGGCCAGCACTTCCCGACCTCACAGGAGGGCCGCATCCGTGTAAGGGTTCACCAAATCCAGCAGGCCAATTTTTAAGCTCATGACTTTGTATGGCCCGCTGGTTTGATCAGTATCAATATTCAAATGGCCCTTGGCAGGATCAAGGTCCCCTGCCCCCTGCTCTAGACCATAAGTTCCCTAAATCATTTGGCCTACATCTACCTTTTCAGGGGAAGAAAAAAAATCTACAAATAAAAACATTTGTACTATAGCCTCTATAACCCAGGAAAAAGTGTAAGTATCTGCTTTCCCAATCCTCCCTGCTCCCTGCCAGGGTTCCAGCACCCCTGGGCAGGGGCTACTGCCCATCTGGGAAACACGGCTCTGGAGGGGGCCCGAGGCTGGTGTGGTAGCGGGCTGATTGCATGTCAGTTTGCG